CGTATTCAGAAGTGTCTTTTTTAATAAAATATGTCAAACTTTATGCAAACAAAAATAGGTACTTAATAAAAATATTTATTGAAGATTTACCGGTATTAGGATATATTTTTCCCAACCATACTTGTCTTAGCTTAAAATTAGAGGGAAACTCATGAAAGGATCTTGAAGGATCTGTGGAGAAACACGACGGAACACAACAAAACGAATAAGGCATTTTAAAATGCGAAACACAACACAAAGCACTAAAACAAACGTAAACAAAAACAAAACGAAACGGCGATTGTAAATCTCGGATCTATTTAAGCCACAAATAAACTAAAACAGATTAGACACAAGAGACACGTTGAGGAATGACAAATACTCCTGTCACAATTTTTGAAAATTATCTAGTAGTAGGCAGGTGTCTTTTTTGGCGTTTAACGGGTAAGTGGCTCTACGCGGAGAACACGAAAACTAGACGATTGAGCAGGCCGTAGTTAATAGAGAAGGTCGTGGTTTTATCATCTACACGATATTTCTTCTAACTTACATATAAAATTTTACAACAATTGTTCCGGTAGTTTTGGAGATTGTCTAATAAAAATCCGGACAGATGGAAGGAAGGACGGATGGACAGACGGATAGACAGACAGGCAGAAACGGGAAACTGAATTTTTCGTATTCTTGGGGTCATGATACGTCAAGAAAATATGAAAGTACTCAGTCCCCTTTCATGCACTTTTAAATGTATTGCTTCGTTCACTTATTGATTACCTTTAAAATTACCTACATAAAAACATTAGTTCGCTTCCCAATCTTTGGAAATATTTAGAAACATGGAGCGTGTTTAACCGTCCATGCTAGTGGCATGACTGCGAAATGTTTGGTATACATGGATGCGTGGCTCAGAGGGTCTTTAATCGTCCTGATGATGATAATGTGGTTAGAGAGACACGCAAAAATGTTAACTTGTTAAAAAGCAAACAATAAATTTCTCTTCGAATTGTTGGCTCGAATCTAACTTGTATCTAATTTTTTCAGAAAAATTTGTTATTCAAATTAACTTGTGGCTGTTGCTTTTAGAAAATCACACCTACTTCTTTCGTCAGTTCGTATGATTTTCGTTACAACAGTTACTCGATTCCTTGAAGGACAAATTTTGTCAAAAAAACTTTCGGGTAATTTGCGAAATTATATTAGAAAATGTTCTTTGAAGAATAAAATAAATCAAAAAGACTAGGCGTAAAAGGTGAAATCTGCATGAAATAAGGGGTTTTAATACAATTTCTGAGGTAATTTTCATTAATTATAATATTCGTAATTTCCATAAGCTGCCGTATAAAAAGAGTGGCGTATAAAAACAAAGATAAGCATATCAGAACGGTCTTATCTGTTAGGGAAGTTAAACTTTGTTGGAAACTCGTTTCTTGGTAATTTCCCAACATACCAAAACTATATTTTCCCGAGTGTTCAACGGCCTAAGCGAAATTTGCATACAGAATACAGCCGCGGATCGATAGGATGGTTTCGCCGACGCTTCACAACGTAATGTCTCACTTACTTGTTTATCTACCGTAAAACATAAGTTAAGTAAGCGGCTGATAGTCTAACATAACCTAATGATCACTAATTACGGCGAAACCAGCAGTGATCGTTACCGCGTCGCGAAATTACTTTACCCTTAATCCCAAGCATTTGCCGGAATGGAAGATTATCTATGGAATACAGACTCCAATGTGGCACTTGAGCGATACAGGGCTCAGTCAAACCCCAAGTTAACCCGAATTTTTAATATCGTTTCAACTATTTGAAACTTATCTCAAGCACGAAAAGGGTTGCTCAAAGGAAGCAATTCATCACCCTCCGCACCACGCTATCATAAAGACAATCGCTATTTATAATCTGCCCTTTTCTTTCGCATCTGCAAACAAAAAAAAATTAATCGACGTTTTCGACTTGACGTCAGGCCTTAATCTGTTTGGCAAAGATAGAGTAAAGCCGCGTGGAAGCAGATAAAGAGTTTGGTTTAACGACCTTGCATCGATATGCTTTTGATAAGTGGAGTATACACTAATGGTGCAAATGTTCGATGCCTCCGTCGGCATCGGGCTGATCGCATCAATTCTCCCTTTACGCATCAATTGCTATATTGGGTTAGTTAATGCATACCAAATAAATGAAATACATACAACACATCGGGTATCGCATCAACATGAATGAATTTGTGGTAAATAAGAAAAGGGAAAGAATTCACTGTGTGCATCACTAGGAATGTTTAAATTCTTCACTTCTCTAGATGAAACTCTGGCTTGGTTGCTTGTCAGACACTTGACAACAACCGCAACGTGCAGAGTTGAGTTGTAATTTCAACATAAATTATCTCCAAGCCTTAGTTTGGTCATGTATGTTTGAACGTAGTGGTTGCAGCAAGTCGGATAATGCTATACCGTCATGATAGGTGAATATATGTTTATGACGTATGAGATAACTGTTGCAGACTACACTAATTAAACGAAACGGGTCTGCAAACTACATGATTTTGCAAAGTCATATTTTATACAATATGTGCTTGCGTTCATAATGGTGTAATTACTGTGTGTACTGTTTAGTTATACAAACACAAGCAAACCCACATTAATAACATTTCAATCACATGGTATGCACGGATGCACCTTACTCAAAAGGTATTTAAATAATTTAATCGTATGCAAACATGCAATTATTGTTACAATTTTTCACCTCTAATTTTACTGATCAAATGAAAGCCTTGATTTACATTTAAATTCCATTTTTTGTGTTTTCTAGTTAGTTACATTTGAAACAAAGGTTAGATTTGTTTTTAAACTGAATTTTTCCACACTTAGTCAATGATTTGTCACGGTCTTGCCGAAACGAGAGCTTGTCGTTCTCAATACGAAACTCCATTATTTTTGGAGCATACAATAAAAGGTTTTTTTCTGGTTCAGTTGTAAAAATAACAAATTTTATACTGATGTTGTGTTTATTCATTATTTATTATTTTTCTGTTTATCGAATTTGTAATAGCAACAAATGTTATTGTCCACAAGACCATAAAAAAGCCATCAAAGTAATGATTTTTCAATATTCATTTCGATTTCAAAATTGTTCTTTTTTACCTTCTACGATTGTTATTGTGTAGTTAAGTACTTACACAGAAACTACTTTACGAGATATTATTATAAGCCAAAAATGAAAAAAAGTATCGTCAAATTTGTAGACACAGCCCGCAAGCAAAATCTACCTAACAGCGAGATATATGTACAAGTGTAACAAATTGTTACAATAAGGTATTAAACTCCTGTTTTGTCCTACCCAAAGTTGGAATTAACTTTAGATTCATTGCTGTTAAGCTCTAGAGCTTCCGCTAAGGAAAGCATGTAATAGTAATTTTTGAAGAAAGTCTAATTCCACGTTTTTAGTGTCTTCCTGGTCGTACAAACCCGCATATGGGTTTCCGATTTCCGTTCGTGTGTCGTCTGTTGGCGATTTATTAGGCGGAAAAACCAAACCGATTACTTGGAGTACGTTAAGACTATCGTGTAGAGGGAAAAACGTCAACTACGATTTATTTGTTTTTCAGATCCGAAAAAATTAGTGGCGTTATCTCAAAATATTGTTAAGTACAGTTTAAATATATAGCGTCTTCACCTGCGGGTAAATAACCGATCCACTTATAGTTTTATTTTTAGGTGCACCTGTTCATTCCCTCTAAAAAGTCAATGACGTCATAAACGAATCATTAATAGTTATAGTAAGGTAGGTTTTGAAAAGTAATACTGGCTTCAATGACATGCTTTTAGTGTTTAGCAGTGCCTGAAATAAATCAATGTAGACAGATATATTTTATGGATTATTTCAGAAACATTCAACAAAAAATACACTCCTTGTGCATATAAATTAGCATTTATAAAAAATTTTTAATTAATAAGATTTGTACAATTAAATCGCTTCAGATACTTCAAACATACCTAAAAATGAACTTGTTTACAGTGTTCTTTTTAAATTAGTATTTTTCCTTGAACAACAAAATCGTGCCAATTTCCTTAAAACGGATTTAGAAAATCAGCATACAAAAGACAAAACAGTTATTTCATGCAGCTGTGTACATTGCATTGCATTCGAAAACAACTTTTTTGTGTATTTCGATAAATCGAAATGAATTTAGTTATTTAACAAATTTTACATAAAAGAAACATCGAAAATTATATCTATGACACACGGTGTCATAGACATAACACTCTTCATTGATTAATAAATCTGTACCTGCGAGCGCAAAGTGCGTAACTCCAAATTGTCAGTTTTCAGTGAGAGCAATTATTTGTGGCTTGTTTTACATACCAGACAAATTATTAGCTTATTCTAAATATATATGTAATACAAAATATTGAATATAACAAATAAAAAATTGTAAATACCTGAATTAGAGAAAAAAGCGTCAACATTTTTTAGCAAAAAATACCCATTATCCAATTTTATGTAAAAATGGAGTTATGCACTTTGCGCTCTCAGGTACAGAAATGGTGTTTCGAATTTCGGCAGTTTCTTTTGACAAACATAAAAGTTGGTTGAAATATCGTTTATTATGTTATCAGACGATACTTTTATTTTATGACTAATAACAAACAACCATAACTACTGCTACTTAATCGGGCATATATTGAACACCATTAAATACGAAACCGGGTCTAATACCACAGTATTTGTTTTAAATAACATAATATGACTTGGCAGAAATTTTCTAATACACAAAAAGTATTTTTTTCGTAGTTTTGAAGAAAACAAAAATTATTCAGAATTTCATTTTAAAATGTCCAGCTTAATTTCATGTATTTTTCATATTAAATTATATAAAAAGCAGAACCAGTTTTTGGATACCATATTTGACATGATTTTTGGTAGGCGTTTTGATTAATTCAAAATAAAAGCGTTGTACTATATATTAAAATTAACAGATGCCACCCTGCATCTTCACCTTAACTGAAGACGATAATTTTACTTACCTCATCTTTTCCTTTCATCACACACATTTTGGCATCATGTTCATTGGAAAACCACGTCAATTTCTGTTGTTGATTTAAATCTGAGAGACTGAGATTGTAGACTAAATTCCTGAAACAAACAAAAATACGTTTAACATATTCTTGATTTAAGGCAGTAATTATTACGAATATTTAGGACATTTTAAATAAATAGAAGATGGTATTTATAAATAATGAGTTAAATAATTGCATATGTATGGGACACTTGGAAATAAACTCGTCAACCCAGTTAAAAAGTAGTAAAGACGTTAATAAAATGTGAGTATTTGCAGGGTCATGGAATCCGGGAAGGAGCTAAAATGAAAATGTCTACGATATAAGGATTAAAATTAACGTAGCCTGAAGAACTTAATCCGCTTGCACAAGATACCACTACGAATGCTGCACGTATTCCGGGTAATACAATTTGTCAGAGTGCACCGGATTATTGACTTGTTTATAGTGATTGTTACAGACTGCATCCGGCGATCAATTGTCGCCTGGGAGATAAGTAAAATGATATTGCTCCAATTTCCACAAATAAACTTGGGGCAAACGGCGCTCATATGCCAGAGGGATTGAACCAAATACACAGTTTCCCCAAATTAATACCTAAAAGTTGGCCAATGACAAAAGAGGGGGTGGAAAACTAGCTTCGCCGACATGTCTGCAGGGAAAAGTAATCAAACAGAGAGAAGCAAACCATTCCTCGATCTTGTATTTTTTGCAGAGACGCTGAAACGTCTGAAATATATCTTACAAATAATTAATTGCAAGCGTTATGATGGATGGGGTATTTGTCGTAAGTTATGGATCCCAGAAAGGGTCAATTCGCGCTGTAGGGTTGAGTTTTTCGATATATTGTGGGCCAATAGATGTACACCATCGTGGACCGCATGCAAAGTCCACGTCAGCAGAGAGATAAATGGAACCAGGCCAGATCGATTCGCAGGCCAAAGCTCACTTTATTGATATGAGAAACGGCCACCTTTGAGCCTGACATCGTCAGCTATATTCAAATCCGACACTTTCAAATTCCTAAATTGAAATCCTCCTTATCTTCGTTGGAAGGGGCTACTTTTGTATTTCCTGTCGGGTGCAAACGGTTTTCCAATCACATTCACGGCATACACAGATCGACTGCACGTATGCGCATACTACATTTTTCCGCTGATTGTAATCTCTCTGGTAATGCAACTCAAATCACTATTGCCATTTGTGGGAGAAAATCGAACGACTCGAAAATCATAATGCGCTTGCTTTCAGACTGTACAAGGCAGACGTAATCTAAACAGATACAGATAAGTTATTTTCGATTTCTTTTATTACGTATATATTCCACAATAGCCGTTGAAAATATCTTATTTCTGGATATTGTAGTGATCCTCGAACCGACAAAAATAGTATAAATGTATCTGCATACAGTTTATAATTCTATTAAAAAATGTTACATGATGTTGTCGTTACATATACATCACAAACAATGTTTAATTTGTTTAATAGCGACACTACCTAATGGTGAAAATTGACGTAAATTCATTATTGTCTACAAAAAGCAATCGCCTTTGTTTGCTTAACACGGTTTTTCCTGCTGCAAACATTTAGAATTTAGTAGATTGGTTAGACCATTAGAACATCCAGACGTAGACACTTTAACAAGAACTAAACCATTAAAGTTACTGGAGTGACTATAAACGTTGGGTTCATGATGATTATTTGTACTTTGCTAAATCTAGACATATTGCCAACGGCTTGTATGAAACTTGAATGGTGAGAGTTTTCTACAATATTGAATTTTTTTGTCATCGCGACATTCAGTAAATTTATTACAGTATCTCAAAAACACTTCACACTTGATACAGTTGCGTTTTAGACACCGATATTGAAAATAAACGATTTGCTCTGTTAAACTCATAATGACATAGAAACATGCACATTTCACATTTTTCTGAAATATATGTTTTTTAATATTCTTAGTATCGTAAAACTCACTCCAAATCAATACAGTTATAGTTTGTCAAGTTTACAGTAATGCACGCTATTGATGCCAAGAACACATTGCACTGAGAAAAATATCGTTTAAAAGTAAAGTCGCCTTGGTACGATTTTTTTTTTAATTTCACGATAAACCGTTGAGACATGTCTTGTTCAACATAAATCGAAAAAGGTGCCAAATTTTTCTACAGTAATTGTATGTTATAAAATTTAATTAGTATTTGCAATGCAAAATTTTTTTGTTATCAAAGTGTTGCATATACATATACTTACTACATTTCTGAGAAGCAAACCCGAGGGAAGTAAAAGATGAAACGTTCTTATTAATTCAGCAAATTTTCTTTAAGTAACAATTATTATTGAACAAAGTGGAGTATGCAGAAGGGGAGAACTGAAGGGTTTACAACGAGAGAATATACAAAATCCAAACCAAATGTTTCGTTCATTACACCAAATACTAAAACTCGGGAACTTTTCATTACATCGGGGAATATCGAAGGATTGGATGTGGTACAAGCTGCTCTAAAATATGCTGCGGTGCGTGCAAATCTCATCGACCTTCTTTTGTTTTGCCATAGAAATAAGATATACACGAATAGGCAATTTTTTTATCGCTACTTTTAACCATTCTCATCCGAAGAAACATACTGGTCATTGTTTTAGACGTCTTTCGTAGCTCTGTTATCACATTTCAAGACAAATTTTACAGGAGTATCTGGTATTAATTTGTTAATATTGTTAATATTCATTGTTTGAAACTTTACTAATACGACGAAATGTTCTGATAGTCAAACTGACGTTCAAAATATTATCATTATCAGATGATAGATTATTCTACTAGTTACCCACTACTAACAATGTAATTTATTAAATTTGAAAAATTAGTTGCTTCAAACAACCCACGTCGGATTATTCTCGTTGATCTGCAGTAAGCGGTAACATTACATTGATCAATAGTAAACAAACGCTATATAATGTTGATAAAAGATCGGCTATTATTAGAAATACCATTGAACACGAATTCCGTTATTTCGTGTTATTCGTTTGTAGATAGTATTAATCATAATGTTTATGTCCTCAATTCAGCAAAAACTTCTTTGTGGTAAAATAGACAATAAAACGTCTTGTTCAAAAGATAGAGAATAAATTTCCATGGTCTTGTTTTGAGCGGAAGGCGTTTTTGGTTAAAGTGCGACTAGTCCAAATGTTTCCGGATAAAAACAGTTTTGTAGAAAAACATGGAAAGCCATTCGAACGCGAGAAAGGTGTATTCTGTGCACAGGCTAAATCTTTTTATTGGCATCTGCGATACGAGGGGCGATGAAATTGGGCTTGGTTTCATTTGATGCTCTCCCTGGGCTATAACAAAATATGCTAGTTTATGATAGCACGCCGGCCAAACGTTCTCAGAAATAATCTTACGGTGTAAGAGAGCAATATATGCAGGAACACCCCGATATTGCACAATGGTTTGGTCTGATACACCAATAAAGGCTTTCAAAACCAACGGCTTGCCATTTCTTCAAGATCTTTTATGATCGGAGGGAAAAGGCGACGTCATTTCACCTTAATTAATCGATGAAGGAGGCGAGCAGAAAAATGAATTTAATTAAATAGCGCGAGATTCATGTGTACTTTAAAAGGTAAAACACAGTTTTTCTGAGATCTTAATTAAACAAAGAGAATTGTAAAAACGCGTATAGTGCGGGTAAAAAACTTACAAAAAGTAATCACTATATTAATATACATTTAATTAAATTATATCACAAACAACACATTGGAGATAATGCAAAAAGTTAAATGAAGACTGAAAGTTGGGGAGTAGTAATTACGCGAACATTTCATTTTTAATTTTCATAAGCTGACAAAAGGAGACTAGCTCGAAGTGAAAAGAACTTAGGAGCCGAGACGAAAACATCGCATAAATCTGGAAAGTTTGGAAAGGATCTGAACAAATAAGACGAGTTATAGTTGACGTCGCCATTAGGCAGGTGAGATTATCTCAATGGTGCCCATTAGGGAAGCCCGATTGCAATCCGGTAATTGCACCGTCTTCCAACTTGTGATGCTTGCGTCGCCAAAACAGACCCTTCAAATTCAGCATTTAAATTAAAGCTTGATCAATAAGAAAATTAGATGCCACTATCAGATTTACCTGGCAGCTTTAATTCAGCTCTTAATCCCCACGAATAAATCAGTTTGATCGTTCAATTTTTAAAAGGCCCTACATTAAAACACGGAGCGTTCCTCGATCGTAAATAAACAAAGCCTACGGCGTTCTGCAGTATGGGTTCTTGAGCGCGTGACAAACAGCCATTGTCCATCGGTACGAAATAACTCTACTTTGGCAAGTGGAGGGTGTGCACCCTTCGTTGTTCCAAGATGATGTGTTCTGGTTATTTACAGGGGATGACACGCGATTCTCGACAATCGCGTCCGTCCTTTTTGCTTGCCACTTCGCTGCTAATGCGTCACCACATTCTAAAATTTAGGCAATTACCCTTGTTGTTCTTAGTCATGACTTTTTTGTTTTTAATAAGGGACGCAATTTTTGCAAATGTTCGCTTCAAACGACCACTCTCTGGATCTGTAATTATTGTGCAATTTGCTCGAAAGCCTCGTTAAAAATGTTCGTTAATAGCTCCGGATAGAGACGATCGCGACGTGCTTTGAGACGAGCTTTTTATTTCTGCTTGCAGCGAACGCCCACAAAATTTTTTATTCAAAAAAAACTCAACAAATAAATGCTTAAAATAAACGACTGTTAAATGTGTCTCAGATCAATAGAGTGGTGTGGATTTCATACCAACACGAAACATCAAAGAAAGTTTCTATCCAACTTTATGATCTATTTATATGTTTAAATGCCAAATCATTATTTATACGATGTAATTGGAAACGATTATTATTAAAGCTGTCCCATATCTTTTCTCAATATCATTACGCAATCTATTTTGCAGGCTTTTAGTTAAAACCATTCTAATACACGTGTGACGCTCGTTTTTAACCTATAAGAAAATAGTAATAATAATGATAGTAGTAGTGGTAATAATAATAGCAATTTAGCAATCAGTAATTTATTTTACTTTTACATTT